TTTTTGAAGTAGCAGAATTACCTGTAGAAACATCCATCACCTCAGCCCTGAACTTCTTCACTCCGCTACTGAGCACCTCTATGATGAAATTGCATCCCTGTCCTGCCCAGAGCTGGCCACATCTGCCTACAACAACTATCTATTATCCTCCCTGGACGCTCTTGCTCCTCTTTCTACACGCAGGACCAAGCCTCGCCTGTCTCAACCCTGGCAAACAGATGACACCAGAAGTCTTAAGAGACACAGCCGCACTCTTGAGCAAGCATGACGTTAAACTAAATCCCTGAAAGACTTTACCCTCTACAAATCCGCTCTTCTTAAATACAACTCCAGCCTTCACGCTGCTAAGCAAACCTACTATAACACTCTCATCAAGACCCTCTCATCCCATCCTTGTCAACTCTTCTCTACCCTTAATTCCTTACTCCACCCCCCACTGCCTCCGCCCACCCCACCAACTTACTTACTGCACAGGAGATTGCCAGTCACTTCAAAAAGAAGATGGACACAATTCGTGATGAGATCTCCAGTATCAAGCTTCCTCCTCTAACCAACATACCAGGCCCAACACCAAACTCAACACTCTCTTCCTTCCACCCTGTTACCACCAAGGAAATTACCGATCTCCTTTCCAAGGCCCACTTCACCACCTGTCCCTCGGATCCTGTCCCCTCACAACTGCTGCAGCCTCCTTCCTGCTCTATCCTAAACTCTCTAACCCACATCTTCAACCTCTCACTCTGCATGGGCACCTTTCCCTCCCCACTCAAACATGCACTGGTTACCCCCATTCTCAAAAAACCCTCGCTGGACCCCACCTGTTTGAACAACTTAAGACCCATCTCCCTGCTCCCGTTTGCCTCCAAGCTTCTCGAGTGCCTTGTCCACAACCGTATGAACTGCTACCTCACTGACAACAACCTTCTTGATCCCCGACAGTCTGGCTTCCGCCCACAACATTCCACAGAAACTGCCCTACCAAAACTCACTAATGGCCTACTAACTGCTAAAACCAATGGCCATTACTCCATAGTTATACTCCTTGACCATCCACTCCTCCTCAGTAAACGCCACTCCATCGGCCTCTGCTCTCTCCTGGTTCTCTTCTTACCTTTCTCAGCGCACTTTCAGTGTCACATACAACTCCTCCTCCTCTGCTCCTCTTCCCCTTTCTGTTGGGGTACCCCAAGGTTCTGTTCTTGGGCCCCTCCTTTTCTCTATACCTCCTCCCTGGGCCAACTGATAACCTCCCATGGCTTCCAATACCACCTCTATGCTGATGACACCCAGATCTATCTCTCCACTCCCCAGCTCACCCCTCAATCTCCTCAGGTATCAAAAATCTACTAAGCGACATATCAGCATGGATGTCACTTCACTACCTCAAACTCAATCTTTCAAAAACTGAGCTTGTAATATTTCCTCCTCTTCGATCCCCCACTCATGACTTTACCATTAAGATCAACAGCACAACCATTGGTCCTTCCCCTCATGCCAGGGTGCTAGGCATAATCCTAGACTCTGACTTCTCCTTTGGGCCCCACATCCACTTACTACCTAAATCCTGCTGCCTCAACCTCCGGAACATTTCCAAAATCCGCCCCTTCCTGACCAATGACACCACAAAACAACTCATCCACGCCTTGGTTATATCCCGCCTCGATTACTGCAACTCCCTCCTCACTGGTCTACCGTTACACAGACTATCCCCCCTTCAGTCTATTATGAATGCTGCTGCTAGACTCATGCACCTTACCAACCGATCAGCGACTGCTGCCCCTCTCTGCCAATCCCTTCATTGGCTTCCACTAACCCAGTGCTTCTCAATTAATTTCTGTCATGCCCCCCCTAGGAAGAAGAAAACATTTTGCGCCCCCCCCCGCGCGACTGTAAATAGTATTAGTCTAAAAATTGTTATAAGTACACCTCTGCATAACACTGTATCCTTATTAACGTATAAGAGAATAAAAAAAGAAAGAAATGTGGATCAATTTACAACAAAGAATAGCTTTATTAACTGTAGCAGAAAAGATTTAAAGTGCATTAGAAATTCAAAAAAAATTAAATCCTTAATTAAACTATAAACATTTTTTGATTGACATGTCAAACCATATGATACTGAAAAAATACATAAAATCAATAAATAATAATGAATTCAAACCGATCACCAACATTTACTTAGGACCTAATCATTGGCGCCCCATCATTGGTGTCAGTGGAAGGAATAGTGCCTCATTATTGGTGTCAGTGGGAGGAATAGTGTCCCAACATTGGTGTCAGTGGGAGGAATAGCGTCCCATCATTGGTGTCAGTGGGAGGAATAGTGTCCCAACATTGGTGTCAGTGGGAGGAATAGCACCCCATCATTGGTGTCAGTGGGAGGAATAGCGCCCCATCATTGGTGTCAGTGGGAGGAATAGTGTCCCAACATTGGTGTCAGTGGGAGGAATAGTGTCCCAACATTGGTGTCAGTGGGAGGAATAGTACCCTGTCAGTGGGGAGAGGAATAGTGCCCCATCGTTGGTGTCAGTGGGGGGGGGGGGAATAGTGCCCCATCGTTTGTGTCAGTGGGAGGAATAGTGCCCCATCGTTGGTGTCAGTGGGAGGAATAATGCCCCATCATTAGTATTAGTGACACCAATGATGTGGCACTATTCCTCCCACTGACAACAATGACACTTGCTGACCCCTGTTGCAGTATGGTGCTGCTGCAGCCAGCATATGTGGTTGCAGCAGCACCTCTGCACTGCACACTTACCGGCTTTTCCCTCACTCGATTTTCGCGGGTCCGCTCGGCTCCGCCTCCTCGCCCGTGATTGGCCGCCTGTGTACCTTTCCTGAGCTACAGTTCTGGCGGCCAATCACCGGTGAGGAGGCGGAGCCGAGCGGCAGGAGTGAGGGAGTGGCCGGAGTGACGGAAGGAGCAGCGCTTCCTGGATGGATCATCGTGGGAGCCAGGTAAAAGACAGCAGCCCTCTGCCCACCCCTGTACTTAGTGTCCCTTCTGTCGGAAGGGGGGGGACGGCGACGCGCCCCCCTTGACGGAGCCTCGCGCCCCCCCTATTTGAGAAGCACTGCACTAACCCAACGTATAAAATTAAAAATACTAACCACAGCTTACAAAGCCATCCACAACACTGCCCCTAGCTACATCACCGACCTCATCCACAGATATATCGGCCAAATCGCCCACTCCGCTCCTCTCAAGATATCTTCCTCTCTAGCTCCCTCATCACTTCCTCCCACGCTCGCCTCCAGGACTTCTCCAGAGCCTCTCCCATCCTCTGGAACTCCCTACCACAGCATGTCCGGTCAGCCCCCATCCTCACTTCTTCAGGGAAGCCTACCCCACCTCCACCTAAGAACTGTACTTGAATCACCTCCACCAGATCATCCAACGCAGCTATCACCTTTTGTATCATCTCCCCCTTCCTTTAGATCAGCGGTTCTCAACCTGGGGGTCGCGACCCCTTTGGGGGTCGAACGACTCTTTCCCAGGGGTCGCCTAAGACCATCGGAAAACACATATTTCCGATGGCCTTAGGAACCGAGACACCGCTCCTTGATCCGACTCCAGGTGTGGGCGGGATGACATGCCGTCCCTGTCATCTGGACACACCCCCGGGATCAATCCTCGTCGGTGATTGGCCGCTGGAACTGTAGCTCAGGAGATGCACACAGGCGGCCAATCACCGGCGAGGAGGTGGAGCTTGGAAAGGAGGAGCCGAGCGGAACCGCGAAGATCGAGCGAGTGAAGAGGAGGAGAGCGGCGGGAGAAGGAAGACATCTGACCGGTAAGTGTCTGTACCATGGGAGAGGGAGGGAGCGAGCGAGCCCAGGCTGGAGCAGGGGTCAGCAAGGTAAGTATCATTGGTGTCAGTGGGAGGAATAGTGCCCAATCATTGGTGTCACTAATACCAATGATGGGGCACTATTCCTCCCACTGACACCAACGATGAGGCACGATTCCTCCCCCAAATGACACCAACGATGGGGCACGATTCCCCCCCACTGACACCAACGATGGGGCACTATTCCTCCCCCCACTGACACCAACGATGGGCACTATTCCTCCCCCCACTGACACCAACAATGGGGCACTATTCCTCCCACTGACACCAACGATGGGGCACTATTCCTCCCACTGACACCAATGTTGGGGCACTATTGCTCCCCCTGATACCAACGATGGGGCACTATTCCTCCCACTGACACCAATGATGGGGCACTATTCCTCCCACTGACACCAACGATGGGGCACTATACTTCCCACTGATACCAACGATGGGGCACTATTCCTCCCACTGACACCAATGTTGGGGCACTATTCCTCCCCCCACTGACACCAACGATGGGGCACTATTGCTCCCCCTGATACCAACGATGGGGCACTATTCCTCCCACTGATACCAACGATGGGGCACTATTCCTCCCACTGACACCAAACGATGGGACACTATTCCTCCCCCTGACACCAACGATGGGGCACTATTCCTCCCACTGACACCAACGATGGGGCACTATTCCTCCCACTGACACCAACGATGGGGCACTATACTTCCCACTGACACCAACGATGGGGCACTATTCCTCCCACTGACACCAATGTTGGGGCACTATTGCTCCCCCTGATACCAATGATGGGGCACTATTCCTCCCACTGACACCAATGTTGGGGCACTATTGCTCCCCCTGATACCAATGATAGGGCACTATTCCTACCACTGACACCAACGATGGGGCACTATTGCTCCCCCTGATACCAACGATGGGGCACTATTCCTCCCACTGATACCAACGATGGGGCACTATTCCTCCCACTGACACCAACGATGGGACACTATTCCTCCCCCTGACACCAACGATGGGGCACTATTCCTCCCACTGACACCAACGATGGGGCACTATTCCTCCCACTGACACCAACGATGGGGCACTATTCCTCCCACTGACACCAACGATGGGGCACTATACTTCCCACTGACACCAACGATGGGGCACTATTCCTCCCACTGACACCAACGTTGGGGCACTATTGCTCCCCCTGATACCAACGATGGGGCACTATTCCTCCCACTGACACCAATGATGGGGGCACTATTCCTCCCACTGATACCAATGATGGGGCACTATTCCCCCCACTGACACCAATGATGGGGCACTATTCCCCCCACTGACACCAATGATGGGGCACTATTCCTCCCACTGACACCAATGATGGGGCACTATTCCCCCCACTGACACCAATGATGGGGCACTATTCCCCCCACTGACACCAATGATGGGGCACTATTCCTCCCACTGACACCAATGATGGGGCACTATTCCCCCACTGACACCAATGATGGGGCACTATTCCCCCCACTGACACCAATGATGGGGCACTATTCCTCCCACTGACACCAATGATGGGGCACTCTTCCTCCCACTGACACCAATGATGGGGCACTATTCCTCCCACTGACACCAATGATGGGGCACTATTCCTCCCACTGACACCAATGATGGGGCACTATTCCCCCCACTGACACCTATGATTGGGCACTATTCCTCCCACTGACACTAATGATGGGGCACTATTCCTACCACTGACACTAATGATGGGGCACTATTCCTACCACTGACACCAATGATAGGGCACTATTCCTACCACTGATACCAATGATGGGGCACTATTCCTCCCATTGACATCAGTGATGGGACACTATTCCTCCCATTGACATCAGTGATGGGACACTATTCCTCCCACTGACACCAATGATGGGGCACTATTCCTCCCACTGACACCAATGATGGGACACTATTCCCCCCACTGACACCTATGATGGGGCACTATTCCTCCCACTGACACCAATGATGGGGCACTATTCCTACCACTGACACCAATGATGGGGCACTATTCCTCCCATTGACATCAGTGATGGGACACTATTCCTCCCATTGACATCAGTGATGGGACACTATTCCTCCCACTGACACCAATGATGTGGCACTACTCCTCCCATTGACATCAGTGATGGGACACTATTCCTCCCACTGACATCAGTGATGTGGCACTACTCCTCTCACTGACACCAATGATATGGCACTACTCCACCCACTGCAAAATTACAGTTATGAAGTAGTAACGAAAATAATTTTATGGTTGGGGGTCACCACAACATGAGGAACTGTATTAAGGGGTCGCGGCATTAGAAAGGTTGAGAACCACTGCTTTAGATTGTAAGCTCCACGAGCAGGGCCCTCACATTCCTTCTGTACTGAAATGTATTGTAATTGTACTGTCTCCCTTATATTGTAAAGCGCTGCGTTGGCGCTATATAAATCCTGTATAATAATAATAATTTTTGGATTTATCCATTGATTTGTGTTTTTTCATTTCTGATTTATTTTTCATTCATTCAGCGCAGTTCTCACTTTTTTCACATTTATATAAATCTCTATATATATATGAGTGCTCCTTTATGTGTATATATAGAGATTACTATTAGAGATGTGATGCTATAGACCGTAGGACCAGTTGCCTTCATGTAACTATACCCTGCTGAATGGAGTAGAGTGCACTCACGTGAAAGGACCCTAACTGCAACATTAATTCAGCAATAGGAAATTTTCTCCCCTACAACTGATAAGCAGCTGTCCTTCTTTCTCCACAGAATAGGAAATTGCCATTTCAGCATTATCAGTGTTCTAAAGGAAAGTCATGCCAAATACAAAGGTATAGCAGTTTGCATAATGATGAAGTCCATGGTGATCAATCTGTTCATGAATATTTCTTTTTTTAAATTCCAATTCAATTCTATTTTTTAAGAAAATCTTATATTTATAAAGGTCATGAAAGTCTGTGATTTTTTTTATTTTATTTAATTAGGTTTTTTGTTCGTTTTATTATTTATACATTTACACAATATCCCTTGTGCTCTTTTTTTCTACAAAGTTACGATGTACAGTGTACAGCTGCTATAGGATCCTGCAGGGCTAACTATGATAAGTTTAGCCTGTTGCTAATGAAAAGGTCTGATCTGTCCCAGACTGAAATTCCAGTTGTGTTTATTAGAAACAAAAAAAAAAGTCCCTGAATGTCTGAGCTTTAGTTTCAGGAGGAGAGGAAATTCACAGCAAAATAAAAACACATGTAATTTGCAAAAAAAAGGATTTGCCTGTGGGCTAGTAAATGAGACAGCACTTGCTATTGATCCAGGATTAAATGCTTATGGGGGTGGGCAAATCATTGGGAGACCTAAGAGGGGGGTAGACAGGACATGAAAAACTCTCTGGAACAAAGAGAGAGAAGCCAGAGAAAGGCTGTACATCAGCGAAAGCATATGCTGTGCACACGTGTTTTCCAGGGTGCAATACGTTCAGCATCATGTTTAATTTATATTGAACACATATACATTTACTACAGGATATGATATGGTCTTCATCTTATATAATCTTCACTTCACACACACATATATATATTTAACGCTATATATAATCTTTATTGTACACACAAATGTGTTTGGATGCGCCTTTCCCAGCCCCTGCTGTTTGCAAGTATTTGTCTTTTATGTTGGGTCTCTGTGTTGGAACACAATGTTATGGGCTTCCAGAATTAGTGTTTAATGTATTTATTACAGGTTTTTAGCTATGACAATTTATGCAGAACTTTACATATTATACATTCACTTCAGACCCTGCCTTCCAGGAGCTTACATTTTAAGGTCACTACCACACATACATACATACCAGGGGCGGACTGACCATTTGAGCACTCGGGCGCTGCCCGAGGGCCGGGGTCAGTAGGGGAACCCCATGAAATGCCCCTGGTTCCTTTTATAGGCTTTTTTTGAGTTTGGGCAAGGACACAGGGGCCCCATGATCCCCTATTGCCCGGGGGGGCCCCATGAGTTGTCAGTCCGCCCCTGATACATACACATACTATTGACAATTTTGAACAGGAGCCAATTGACCTACCAGTATGCGAGAGGGAAACCGGAGTACTCAGAGGAAGCTTATGTAAGCACAAACAGAACATGCAAACTCTTTGCAGATAGTAGTGTTGTTGTTTAATATCATGCAGATGACACTAGTGCCGCAAGTGGTAACCACTTAAGCCTGCCATAGGCTGTTCGAACCTTGGCCAGTGCCTGCTGAACCGGCTCAGATTCAAACCATTTATGGGCAGGGTGAATGTACCCACGTTGATCAATCAACTTACTGTATAACCAGCCTGTCAGATTTTACATGTGATTATTGCTAGCGGCGCTCCATCTAAGGCCGGGTCAGGCCTGTGCTGCCCACATTGCATTTCTCTGCCAGTCTCTGATAGAGGCTTCAGGGGTGACAGGGATGTGATCAGAAATGTCTTGTCAGTTAGCCAACCCTTATTGAGTTTGTCTCCTTTGGGTTGGACCAGCCCTGTTCTAGGGTCTTTGGGAAGCCCTCCTCTCTGGGGATATGGTGACTGGTTGGGAAGGATGGGTGCTTAGTTTGAGGCTAGAACCTAGGCCAAGAGGGCGATGTTCCCTTTTTTCAGACTGTGGGTCTAACTCTAACTGTGCTAGAGTAATCACTAGGTTGGAGCGACACTAAAATCTCTAGATTGTGGGGCTAAATTGCTTCAGAAGAAGATCTGTATTATGCTTCTCAATGCTGAGACCCACTATGCAACTTCTAGTTTGGGAAGCTCTAGGAGCTCGACCAACCAGTTTTTGGGGTATTCCAACTACTTCTGTTCTCCTATCACGTTCAGGGTAAAACAGTTAAACTGCATTCATGTCTGGACCTGAACTTCTTAGTCTACTCTTGGGGCAAGGTGTTCCTAGAAAGAAGTCTCCCTTATCTTCATAATGTCCTTCTGGGTCTTCGTATTAAAGTTTCACAACCTAAAAGACACTGACCTAAACTTCCACTTAGTGGAGTGTTTGGATCTGCAATTTGCCCAGGTGCTGCTATAGTCCACGTATGGCAGGGCACAACATGCTCATTATTATGCATTATCTGTATTGCACACACATATTGTATATTGTAGGATACATTTTGTACAGCATCATAGTTAATCTGGTTAAAAAAAGACTCAAGTCCATCCAGTTCAAACAACAGAGAATACCCACTGATGGCAAAAAAACTCCAGTAAAGCATGATCTAATTTTCTTCAAGGGTGGAACAAATTCCTTCCTTATCCCCCAAGAGACAATCGGATATTCCCTGGATCAACTCTACCTATAAAAATTTATATATCAGTTATATATTGTGAATTTAGGAAAGAATCCAGGCCTTTCTTAGAACAATCCAAAGGGTGTCCCTAAAGTCTGGACACATAGGCAAAATGCATATTTTCAATACATTTTTTCAACATTTTATTTAATTATTAATCAATAACACCTTCAATGTGAGTTCCACTGTTTGTGATGCAAAGTTCCATGCAGTTTGCAAGATTCACATGAACCCAATGCAGTAACTCCATCAATTTGAGCGCATTTGTTCATGATGTGATCCTTCAGGTACAGTTCTTAGGTGGAGGTGGGGTAGGCTTCCCTGAATAAGTGAGTTTTCAAAGATCGCCAGAAGGCAGACAGAGTGGGGGCTGACCGGACATACTGTGGTAGGGAGTTCCAGAGGATGGGAGAGGCTCTGGAGAAGTCCTGGAGGCGAGTATGGGAGGAGGTGACAAGGGAGCTAGATATCTTGGGAGGAGCAGAGCGGGCGATTTGGCCGATATCTGTGGATGAGGTCAGTGATGTAGCTAGGGGCAGTGTTGTGGATGACTTTGTAAGCTGTGGTTAGTATTTTAAATTTTATACGTTGGGTTAGTGGAAGCCAATGAAGGGATTGGCAGAGAGGGGCAGTAGTCACTGATCGGTTGGTAAGGTGTATGAGTCTAGCAGGAGCATTCATTATAGACAGAAGGGGGGATAGCCTGTGTAACGGTAGACCAGTGAGGAGGGAGTTGCAGTAATCAAGGCGGGGGATAAAACCAAGGCGTGGATAAGTTGTTTTGTGGTGTCATTGGTCAGGAAGGGGCAGATTTTGGAAATGTTCTGGAGGTTGAAGTGGCAGGATTTAGCCCGTGATTGGATGTGGGGCCCAAAGGAGAGGTTAGAGTCTAGGATTATGCCTAGCACCCTGGCATGAGGGGAAGGACCAAAAGTTGTGCTGCTGATCTTAATGGTAAAGTCATGAGTGGGGGATTGGGGGGAAGGAAATATTACAAGCTTGGTTTTGGAAAGATTGAGTTTAAGGAAGTGGTGTGACATCCATGCTGATATGTCGCTTAGTAGATTTTTGATACGTGAGGAGATTGAGGGGGTGAGCTGGGGAGTAGAGAGAGTTAGATCTGGGTTTCATCAGCATAGAGGTGGTATTGGAAGCCATGGAAGGTTATCAGTTGGCCCAGGGAGGAGGTGTAGAGAGAGAAAAAGAGAGGCCCGAGGACAGAACCTTGGTTTACCCCAACAGAAAGAGGAAGAGGAGCGGAGAAGTTGTATGTTACACTGAAAGTGCGCTGAGAAATGTAAGAGGAGAACC